TCCATGTTTTCAATTATTAGACTAAATTTTCCAATAAATAGTTTGAAAATATATTTTTTGCAGCTTTTAGTTTTTAATATTAATTTACAATATGTCACCCAACACTTAACAATAGCCTATATGTTGTCATAAAGTTCAGTAAACAGATGATATGAAGCTGCTGCACACAGAGTTTCTGGGATCAGCTGACCTGCATCCAGAACCTGATTTGTAGAACTGTGGGTCGAACAGCAGGGCAGGTCCTGAAGAAAACCAGTTAACAGCAGGGCAGGTCCTGAAGAAAACCAGTTAAGAAATTGAGAAGCTAAAAGAGTTAAACCGTTTTTGAAGCGAACACAGCAGGATTAAGTATATGGACTTTGATGCGATCAGCCGGATATTGAGAGCAACAGACAGTTTTATGTCACGGGGGGAGTGCCGAGCTCACTCGAGGTGATAGACGCATGCGCTATATGCGTAACGTGAAAGTTGACTACAGTTGGAAAAAAAGAGCGCACAAAACACTTAATTAGGCGTAAAATACAGACATTCTGACAAATAAGTAACCATTTGTAACCTTACCTGAGCTTAGAAGGCAGAGGGTGTCGGCCTTTTCCGCTCAGATTCAGCTTTCGGAGCATGAAGCTAATGTTTACTCACAATGCTAATGCTCTCGTACTCTCTGGCACTCACAAGGTAGAGGAGCCAAATGGCTGGCTCACTGCTGCCAACTAGTGGTCAGAGGCTGAACTACAACATAAAAATGAACGGCTGGCAGGAAAGTTAACATTTTAAACCTTAATAACAAAATCGATACAGGGCTTTAGAATATCGATACAGTATCGGGAAATGAAATATCGCGATATTTTAGTGTATCGATATTTTCTTACACCCCTATTAGTCATAGGCTTAGACTGCTGGTGGACAAACATTTTCTTCCTGTTAAAAGGGAGTGTTTCCTTTCCACTATTGCCAATGTGTTGCTCAGGATGAAGGTTTGCAACTGAAATTGTGTTGTTTGTTAAGTCAGACAAATAACTTTATTAAGTGGCTTTTTATAATGCATGTGAATGTTTTGCCCTGAGATGACTTTTGTTGTGAATTGGCTCTAACTAAATTGAACTGAAAGGTATGGAGAGTCCAGGAAACTTACCGCTTCATAGTTGTTTTTAAATTCTGTCAGATGGAAAAAAAAAAAAAAAAACATATTAAAAAATGCATTTGTTTTTGTTTAAAACTGATTATTATTTTTTAAAGAAACTTTAGAGATTACCAGGATGAATGACAGGTCTCCTGTTCTCATCTCCTCTTCTGTTTTTTGGATTTTCTGTGTGAGTTCAGAAATCTCTGCAGCCAGGTTTAAAGTGGTCAAGCTCATCGCTTCGCTCTTGTCTTTTGCTTCTTTGCGACATGCATCGATCCTTCCAGCCTCGTCTTCACGCAGGAACTTGTAAAACTTTTGAAATTCAGCTCTGATCTTCTTCTCAGTCTGCTGAGCCTGAAGCTGAGGAATAATTTAAAAAAAAAATCTAATAGTGAGCATCTGTTTTTTTTTCCTATCTCCATGACTCATGTGACTTACCTGGATGTGAGCAGCCATTTTATCACAGTTCTGTTTAACCATTTCATACGATCCCCGTAGACGTTTCAGGTTTAGCAGGTTGATCTGAAGTTGAGCCTAAAGATAAAAATGTAAAGTGAATCTTCGGCATCACAACACTTTAAAGCTTCATCTCACTGTGACTCACTCTGTACTCCTCTGCTGCTTCATTTATGGGAACACAGTTGTGTTTCTTGTGTGTTTTCGCATCCCGGCAAACCAAACAGACGGGCTGTTTGTCATCCTCACAGAAAAGTTTGAGTTCCTCGCTGTGCAGAGGGCAGAGCTGCACGGGTCGCCCTGTGGCTGTCCTCGCCTGTCTCAGAGACTCAGACAGGTTGTTCAGGGCTATGTTTCGAGGTGGCTGAGGCATTGCAAATGTTTCTTTACAGACTGGGCACGTCCTCAGCCTGCTCTGTCTCCACCATTCCTGAAGGCAGTTCTTACAGAAGCTGTGACCGCACAGCAACACAACAGGATCAGTGAATAAATCACAGCAAACTGGGCAGGTGCAGTCTTCTTCAGCCTGTGGGATGTTTGCAGCCATTTTGTTGTTAACTCCAGTTTTTTTTCTTCTTATCTCTTTCCTGTTTGTCTCGCCCAGCCAAATTACTTTCACTTTTAAACGTAGTCGTTTGTGCACAAACTAACTTTTCAAAGTTACAAGTATTTACTTTAAAAAGCTCCCATAAATTCTTGGCTAAACAAATACTCGTCTAATTTACCAAATTAACATACCTTTTTCAAGCAAAAACACACATCTGTATACGTCTTCCTGCTTAAAAGCAGTGAGGGAGGAGCATGATTGTATGGAGGACTGAAACTGACATAATTAAAAATAAAAGCAGAAACTAATAAATGAAGAAATACACTTAAAATGCACCAATTAAATTAAAAAAAAATTATCTCGTGTTTTATAATTTAATTTACCTACATATTTATTTTTCCAGCTTAGTTGCAATAAATTATATATTTTAGCACATGATATACATTTTACTGTTTTACAAATTTTTGTATATTTTGTTTTTACTTTTACTTGTGCATGCATTTGTGTTTCTTAAATGATTATATTTAGTAATTTTTCATATTTTTCCCACATTTTTTTTATTTCCATATGTTGCTTTTACATTTCTCTGTCTCCTGTATTTACTTTACCTTGTGCATTTCTGCCTCATTATGCAAATAAAGTGGGTGGTCTTTCTTTGGTCAGCCCTCCTCCAGGATCCATGTGCAGACCTACTGTGCATGCCTATGTTACCTCAGTTTAGATTAAAGTTCAAAGTTTAGTTAAAAATAAAATAAAAGCACAGGTGTTTTTCTCCTTGCCTTTGTTTTAAACTAAGCTTTAAACACTTATATTGTGATACGTTATTTAGCCGTATTGCACAGCCCTAATCAGACATGTCTATTCCTGACAAGAGAGCGTAAATGGTAAAACTAATCCAATACATTTGCTGTCTTGTTGAATTCTGTTCAAAAAGTTCTTTTCAGAACACATATTAAAATACTCAAAAAAATAGCATTTGTATTTGTGGATGATCATTTTAAATTTATTTCAATTCATAACAGAAGAAAGTTGATTACTGAGTGGATCTTATGAATACTTAAACTGATACATTAGTTGTAGACCTAGATCAAATACTGTTTACTTTTTTGCCCGTTTTTCTGTGTTACACATTCAGGCTGAGGGCAGAAGTAAAAAAAATAGTGTAAAATAGGCTTATTTATTCTTTATTAAAATGAGTAATTTTCTCCCCAAACAATTTAATGTTAGTTCTTTTCACTTTGGTATTGTATTTTTTCATTTAAATCCATATAGAGTATGAAATTCTTTGGCATGCAGTTTGCACTTTCTTGGACTTTGACTCAACAAGTAGGGACAACAACAGGAAATGAAGTTTTGCTCTAGCATTACAGTTACATATAAGGAAGGCTTTTTCTGATAATTGTGCAGTTTAAAACATAAATGTGCACATTCCCGCACGGTTACTTTTTCTGATTTTTTATAGACATGGGTTTTTACGATGTAAAAACAAGTGTGCATTGCCACGTAGCATGTCATTGCAGCATAGCTTTGCCTGCAGCATTGGACTTGCAGAATGAACTTTGACCAAGTTCAAATGTGTTTTCTATACCAGCTTGTGCCTGTCACATCAGCAGATGTTTAGAATTAAGGTAATTGTGTGACAATATGAAGTTTTAAGAGATTTTTTCATAAAGTTGCATTAGCCAGGTTTTAAACCCTGATCTCCCACATGAAAATCCATGACATAGACCATTAGACCAATGGAGTTGTGGCAGAAGGTGGTGGCAGGGGTTGGTTTGTATGTGTGCAGAAAGAGGCCACATTGACAATACAATTATTGACACTGAACTGCATAATATTACAATAATAGAGCAGTATTAAGACAATATTATAGTAAAACATCAAAATACAATCATATTAGTATTGTAAACACTGAACTACTGAGTTGAAATATTAAACTATGATGCAGTACCAAGTTGAGTACAGCATGGGGCAGTATTGGACCAATACAAAGCTCCATTGACTGCCATTATAATTCATTAAACATTAATATTGCATAAACTATAAGTTTTACAGGCACCAAAAGGCATAGCCATCATTTGGCACAGGAGCTTTGCAGATATAAATTACAATGGCAGCTCTAGGACAAAGTATGCAGGAGGAGAAGCATGGCAAAGTTGAGATGGCTTGGATGGGAAACGAATCACAATAGTGTGCATTGCATTGGCAATGCACACTGACAAGCCAAACACTACTTCCTCTTGGGCACAATTTCACAATAAAATGCACTCATAGACTTACAAAACACAATGAGGACCATAGGGAAAAAATGTAATAAATAAAATATCATGTTTAGAATTCTGACTTTTGTTCTCAAAAATTCAAGATTAAAGTCAGAATTCTGCTTTTTATTTTCTCAGCTATGAGAAAAAAGGTTAAAAATACTACATATACATCCACTGAACTTTCAGAAGTGAAACTCTTATTGCTTACCTCCTTTGCCGTGGCACAAAAAC